CTAGCAATTGAGGTTTATTGTGTAAGTGAGCGTGTTCCTGGCAATCAAGGGGTTAAATGTGATTAATGGTGTACTAGTGGGCAATCTGACGCTATCTGGGAGGGGCGCTAACGCTATCTGAAGTCGCCAGCGACACTAATACAATCTGTACACTGTACTAATGACACTGGTGACAGGGCAGTGAAGGGGGGTGTGCGTTTAAGGGGTTAAATGTGACCGAGAGTGTTCTAACTGGGTTTGTGTGCTGTTTTTACTAACAGTTGATGTTCTTTCTTCTCTCTGGGATGGAATGTGCCCAGGCAGAGAGGATTGACATCATATCCTGTCCTGTGTAACTGTCAACACAGAACAGGATAGGACAGGGACTGATCATCCAACTTAGGCCGGACATCACTGGCCTAAATTGAATGATTGACCCCTCTCGGGGATTGAATTGTGACACCCGTGGGTTTGCGGGGGCGCCCCCCGCGAAAACTACGTTTATATACATGATCCTGCGCACAGAGGCCGCCCTGCAGCAGTATAAGTACTGTGGGCAGTCCCCTAGTGGTTAATACATGCCAAAGGTTCACACAGCACCATGGATTATCTAAAGTAACGGCACAGCAACTTGCTTTGCAGATCTGTTTGTCTGATAAAGAATAAATCACTGCTAGGAACACTGGCCAAAATTAATGCAATATTTTATATTTACTGTGTATGACAAAGCAGGTAAAAACACATCCTAACTATGGAGTGTTAATGCACCCCCCCCCAAACCATAAATATAAACAAGCCCTTATGGTCCTGAGCCCTCTATAAGGCTGCTTTCACACTGACACACCTGCGGATTTCCTGCGGGTTAACTGTGCTTTGCCATAGACTTCTATTATACCTTGCAGGTGTGGAGCACGTTCTGAAAACCACAGGCTATAATAGCAGGCTATGGCTCAGTGCAGCTAACCAGCAGGTGCACTGAGCTGCACCCGCAGATCAGTGTTAACACAGGCTAATAATTGTTAATCCTTTTATAGGTGCTAATATGCCCATTGCAAAAGCGCAGTGCATGTGTTGTTTAATACACTGACCTCTTTTTCCTGTTACAGCTTCTGCTGGCATCTCTCTCAGTCTCCAGGCTTCTATAAAGGTCCCAGGCCAAGTGCACTTGGTATCACTCTGCCTTGGACAGGAGCAGAAGCTACAGAGGAAGCATTGCCTTATGCGGCTCCTGATCTCTCTCGCGGCTGCCTGCTTCCTTTTCTGCTGCTGCCGGCTCGATGCACTGGGATGGCGGGTTGGCAAGACCAGATCATGATCAGTGGAATTCAGACCCTGAGCATGCACTTCCCTGGTGTGAGGTCAAGAGCCACACAAGAGGGCTCCGAGGGTCACAAGTTGAACACCCTGCTTTAAGGTTTTATTGTATGGATCCGCTGAATGAACATCTGCATTTTATCGTATTAATATCTTAGTCAGTGTTCAAAGATTATTGCATGGGCTATAAAAAAAAAAAAAAAAAGGAGACATAGGGCCAAAGCTCTTCTGGGACTACTTCTATGGGTCACAGGAGTTCTGCACTCCTGTGACCTAGATTCAGCCATCAGTGGGCTAAAGTCCGCTGTTGGCTGACATTGCTCAGTCAGTCCAGACTTCAGAGGGATCCAAACTTTAATGTCGGGATCCAACCAAATGCCTGAACGGTAGCTGGTGTAGCCTATCAGCATGCCACTGGGGGACTGAGCCAGCTTGCTCTTGCTCCACAGCCCGGTGCTCCAGTGAGCGCTGGAGAAGCAAAGCAGGGAGGTGGTGACTGACCATCACTGCTCACTGAAGACCTAGAACTGAGCAATTAGTACTCTTTGATCTCAGTTCTTGGTGTACAGGTGACCGGGAAGATGTTGCATTGTACCTCCTCCTAAGTGAGTTTTACAAAATATCCTTCCTTTTTGTTTTTTTTTTAGTTAGTTAAATACAAAATATTCCATATGAATATTTTGGATTATCAATGACGCCACCAGGTGAAGCTCTCAGCCTCTTAACAGAAGAGGCTATCCTTGCCTGCTAAGAATATTTGAGAGAAAACAACTTTGCCATGATCGCTTTTAAAAACAAAGATAGAAGAAATAAAACTGTGTAAGGGGTCTTTCACACTGGAGGCAGGGGGACCAGTAAAAACAAGTGGCTGAGCTGTGGTTTTTATGCTCCCAACCTTCCGAAAATTTACAATGCAATTAGCAGAGTTTGACAGATGGTACAGCCTATCAAACTTGGCCACTGAAATCAATAGGGCCGCACTGCAAGCCAAACGCTTGACTCACAGTTGCAGAACAGTCCCACAATGGAAAAATGTGACTCTGCAAATTAAAAAAAAAAAAAAAAAAAAAAAAAAAAAAAAAAAAAAACAGTAAAAAAAAAAAACCGTAAAAAAAAAAAAAAAATGTTAAAAAAGTGTCAAAAAGGGGGTAGTAGTGCCTCCACTGTGGATTGCTTTACAGAGGGTGGAAGCATTACCGCCACTGTGAAAGAACACAAACTGTTTGGAAAAAAAAAAAATATGTTTGCACTATTCCTTTCAGTGAAATGATTTACTACAGAAAAAAAGAGAAAAATCTCCGATACAGAACATTCAGGCTTGTGAATTGAAAGCGATCAGAAAATTAGCATAGAGTAGTACAGGCATACCTCGGTTTATGAATTTAATTTGTTCTGCGGGACTTTTCGTATAGCGAAAAATTCGTAAACCGAAACGCCGTTTCCCGTAGGAATGCATTTAAAACCAATCAATTTGCTCTGGAGGTCAGAAAAAAGTAAACGCTACTCATGAGTTATTTTATCAAGTCATGCGGTATTTTAGTAGTGAGAACCATGTGTTAATGTTTCAGCTGTCAGCGGAGTTCCCCACTGACAGCTGAATGTAAAAGAAAGAATTGACGGCAATTAAAAAAATAATTAAAAAAAAACAAAACAAAACAAAACAAAAATCGGTGTGGGGTCCCCCTTCCCATCCATACCAAGCCCTTCGGGTCTGGTATGAATTTTGAGGGGAACTCAAATACCAAAATTTAAAAAACAAAAATAGAGTGGGGGTCCCACCCTAAATTCATGTCAAACCCTTATCCGAGCATGCAGCCCGGCAGGGTCAGGAAATGGGGGGGGCCACATTCCCTCAAACATGTAGTGCGAAAAAAGACAGGACACAGCCTTTGACAAGTCCTTTATTAAAAGAAAAAAACTAATTGAATGTCTCCCGCAGTAGATCCAATGTTATTCACGATGTCGACCGCCCCTGAATAAAGAATTTTTAAAAAAAAGCTCCGCTCCCGACGATGGCTCCCGGCTGTCGGCTTCTTAACAGTTTTTAAATATGTAAGGGATGGGGCCACCCAGTGACATCACACATGTGGCCCCACCTCCTTGTGATATTGACCCAGCATGCACCAGTTGACACCACAAGGTGGGCCACACGTGTGATGTCACTGGGTGGCCCCGCCCCCTTTTTAAAAAATGTTGGCATGGGGGTTCCCCTCACAAATTCATACCATACCCGATCGGCTTGGTATGAATGGAGGGGGGACCTCATGACGTTGTTTTATTTACTATGGTGCTGGTTTTTAAATGTAATTACCGCTTTTCTTTTTCTTCACTATAGCTCAGAGATTCAGCTGTCATTTTCCCCTCAGCTAAAAGAAAGTAAATTTCCTTTTAGTTTATTTCTCCGAGTTAAAAGAAACAATGTTTCCTTTGAGTTTCTTAAAAGAAACAAAGTTTCCATAACTCCGGGGAAAGTGACAGCTAATTCTGTGAGCTATAGTGAAGGAAAAAAAAAAAAAGCCAGCAATTGCATTTATAAATCAGCACCGACATACACTTCGTATTGCGAAAAAAAAAAAAAAAAAAAAAAAAAAAAAAAAAAAAAAAAAAATCGTAAAAAAATTGGATTTTCATTTGTAAACCGAAAATTACGTTAACTGAGGCATTCGTAAACCGAGGTACACCTGTATAGTAAAATAAATTAGGTACCTTTGTGAACTGAACCTTCTAAATTCCAGAAAAGATAGTATTTAACAATCCTTTAAAAATCCAAATTTTGATCTATCTTGTTGCCAGAAAATGCATTTAATACTAAAGAAGCCACTATTATCCTTCTTCCATTGTTTCTGAACCTAGGGTGGTTTGCATAAAGCAGAACTGTAAAAGGTCAGCAGACCAAAGAGCATACTTGGTGAAGTACAAACCTCATCTGCCCCATCTTTGCACTGGCATACCTTATGAAGAGATTCTTTTCTCACTTAACTTGCAGAATGATCCTGTGGACAGAAATAATTCTACATCCAGCTGTAATACTGATTTACTATCAGAAACCAGAAGGAAGCAGAGATCATGCCAGACACATGGGTTGTGCTTTAGGCCCTATTAAAATGATTATAAACCTTCACCTTGTAAAACAACCCATTTAAAATAGAAGAATGAAATGCAAAACATTTGTGTACAGATATAAAAATACATTAAAAATACCTTTATTCCCTTTTTTATAAGTGATCACTTTCCCTCTGTTCTCAGTTACATAGATAGCAAGGAGAGGACAAACAGCAGTACACTGATCTTCCCACTGAATGGCTGTGTGGGAAGGAGGGGGGGACATCAGGACAAGTCTGATTGTTGAAGAGGAGAACATTAAGTTTCCAGCATGGATAGAGAACTGAACACCGTGTGTTCTCCTGCTTACTGTGGCCAGTTTTTAATAAGAAAGCAGAGGGACTGGCAGGAACACCAGGGGTTTCACACAAAAAAAGCAATACAAAGATAAAAGGATACTTTTTCACACAAAGTACATGGTATAGCAGGCACATATCAGGAATATGAAATGTTGGGTTTACATATTCTTTCAGGATTTGAGGAAAGCAAAGAAAGAAAAATAAAAAACATACCAATTATTCCTTGTGCATGACTGGACTGCTCATACTGCACCTACTTTGAAATGATACATGGCCCAATAACAATGAGTTTTAAGAGAGACTTACTTTTTCATAAGAAACTTGTTAATGGCTTTCTGCTTCCTCATAAATTCTACAATTTTTCGATTCAGGTAAACAAACAGCGCACCACCAAATCCACTAGCAATCCTGAGGAATAGACAAATTAAAAAGTATAAGAGGGACCATCCCACTATGATCAACAAAAATAGGTCAACTTTTTTTTTTATTTAAAAAATAAATAAATTTTATATATTTGTACCTACCATAAAATATTTTAATTGGAGTAAAATGCTGAACACAAGATTGCAAAATAGTCTATTGACAAGCAAGTTATACTGCTGCCTTCAGGAGGTTTGGACATTAGCAAATCAAAAAACATTAAGCCAGCCTCTGCATAGCCCTGTCTCCATTAGTCTTGTGGAGAAGTAGTACTTAAAGTGGTTGTAAAGCCTAAACATTTTGTACCTTAATGCATTCCTTGCATTATGATAAAAAATGTTTGGGCATGATAATTGCCCCCTCACCCCGCCCGTTACATTTACCTGAGCCCTCATTCAATCCAGCGCTGTGTATGTCTGCTCTTCTCTACTCTCATTTCCTTAGTCTCACAGGCTTTACTGAGACAGCAGGAGCCACTGGCTCCTGCTAATCAAAGCCAGTGACGAGGGGGAGCGAGCACGCAGGTAGGACCCCATAGGAAGCATTTTCCTATGGGGCACCAGCTAGAATCGGAGCCAAGAGAGCCGCAGTGGGCCAAAGAAAAGGAGGTTTAGGAACGCGCTGTGCAATTCCATTGAACAGAGCAGTTAAGTATAAACCTCTTTGTTTTTTTTCAACAACTTAATCTCCAGAAAGGTTTTACCTCCTCCCTGACCAAAGCATTTTTTTTGCTATTGTTTCTTTCATAACTCATTTTTATGGAATAGACACACCCACGGGTCCTTTGGAACTGAGATCCCCAAAATCTCCTGTATATTTTGGATTATGTCTTGCCAAAATACCTGTATCTTTGGACATTCCCACCAAATGTGCGCCATTGTCCCTAATGTCCCACATTCCCTCCAACACAATGGTGATGCCTCCTCTCGCTGTTTATGTGCCACACTCTGTGTACAATACCATCTAGACAAACATTTATAATTCATTTCAACTATGTTCATATTCCTCATCCAGTGTATTAATTTTAACACTTTATTTTTCTGTTGATCATTGATTTTTGTACCCAATTCTCTTTCCCATTTTTCTAAAAATGTCAGAATTTCAGCTCCCATGAGTTCAGATAGGATCTTATAAATCCTTGAAGTTATATGTTCACAATTCATCTTCGAGCTCATCAATTTTTCAAATGGTAGCATCTCTTCCACCATCCTCAGTGGCGGGGGGAGTGTTGAGACAAAATGTCTTAATTGGCTATATCTCAATTCATCTAGTGCAACAAATGTATTTTTTTAAATCCTGAGGGAAAATTTTTTTTAAATCCAGGAGGGAAAAATTCTGTGTCAACCAATGGCAACAATAGTGAATTATACTCCCATCCCAAAGACTTGTGTAACCCATCCCATATTCTCAACACTTCCTTTGTTAATGTGCTACTATTTACATCTATTACCCATATATTTACATGGGATCCATATGATCTTCTCCAATTGTGTATTGCTTATAATACTTTCCTTTTTAACCCAACTTTTCTTTTTGAATTATGTGTCCATTCAACTACCCGTGATAATAAAACTGAAATAATATTTCCTCATGTTTGGCAGATTTAATCCTCCTTTCTCCTTTTTGTAACAGAGTTTCATATTTAATTCTTGGTTTCTTATTATCCCTGATAAATCTCGTTATCAATTTTCTTATTATCCTAAAAAAAAATGTGGGTATATTTATTGGGAGCATTTGAAACTTATACATGATTTTTGGTACTATTACTATCTTAACCAAATTTATACATCCAATCCATGAGACCCATCCTCCTAAAAGTCTTCTCAACTCATCTTTGATTTAATTTATTAGCGGGATGTAATTAACTTGATATAGATCTTTTTATTGCTGAGGTTAACTTTATTCCCAGGTAACTTAATTCCCATTCCCTCCATTTAAAAGGAAAGTCTTCTTGCAGATTCTTCCTCTCCGATTTTGATACATTAATATTTAAATTTCAGATTTTGTAGGGTTTATTTTTAAGTTAGATAATTCTCCATATTGTTTTAATAACTTCATTAGATTAGGTATCATCAATCCAGGGTTCTCTATATAAAACATATCATCTGCATATGCTGCAACTTTATGCTCTATTTCTCCTATTTTAAGTCCCTTAATATCTATGTTCTTTCTTACTGATGCCAGAAGTGGTTCCAGGGACAATGCAAACAGTAATGGTGACAACGGGCATCCCTGCCTAGTACCATTATACAATCTAAAGGACTCAGACAGGGTCCCATTTACCTTCACCGCCGCTGAGGGTCCATTATAAAGTTTTTATCCATTTTTTTTAACATTTTTTCCCTTATTCCTAGGACTTCCAGCGTATTTATCATAAACCCCCAATCTATTCTGTCGAAGGCTTTCTTTGCATCAATCGACAATATTATTGTTGGCTGTCTACTTCTCTTTGCTTTTTGCAAAAGGAGTAATGTTCTCAATCCATTGTCCTTTCCTTCTCTTCCTGGTATAAACCAGACCTGGTCCAAAATGTATCTATTCCAGCATCAGCTCCTTCAACCTAGTAGCCAATACCTTCGCGAATAATTTAGGGACGGTATTCAACAGTGATATGGGTCTATAACTAGCACATTGAGTGCCATCCTTTCCTTCCTTAAGAATAATTATATGTGCATGTAATGATTCCCCTCTTATTTCTCCTCCCTACGCATACATATATCTGCAGAGTTTAGGAATCAAACTCTTTAAATTTTTTATAGTACCCCACTATATAACCATGTGGGCCCGGACTCTTCCCTCCCACCGTATTTTTCAAAGCCTCCCTAATTTCCTCCTGAGAAATAGTTCGATTTAAAGATCTCAATTTATCCATTGCAATTTTGGTAAGTCAGCTGCTGTTAAAAATTCTTGTCTTTTCTTACTCTTTTCTTTCTCTGTTTTTTTCTGATTTATAGGGTTCACCACATACAGTCCACTGTAAAACTTCTGGAATCTTTCTGCGATACCAGTGGTGGTGTAGACCAGATCTCCATTTTCATCTTTGTTTCTATATAGTTCTTTGATTTATTTTCCTTCAACCTCCTCATCATATATTTTCCTGGTCTGTTCCCCCACTGGTATCTTTCTTTTGAAACTCTATTAAATGTTTTCCTTGTTTCCTCTTCTATTAAATCTTTTAATTCCTCTCTTTTAAGAATGATCTTTCCATGTAGGTCTAAATCCTGCTTTTTTTATGTGTTTGTTCTAATTTATATAGTTCAGTTATTTCTTTTAATTTCTTCTCTCGATCTTTCTTTTTTTTTTTGTACATGCCGCTATCAAGATTCCTCTCATATAGGCCTTATGTGCCTCCCATAGCGTTACCACCGATACTTCCCCAGTTTCATTTTATACAAAAAATTTTTCTAATTCTTCTCTTAACTTCTCCTCTATGTCTGGATCATTTAGAAGTATCTTGTTTAATCTCCACATTGCTCTTTTATTTCCCTCTCCTCACATTCTTAGTCTCACCGTTACAGAAGCATGGTCCAAAATAGTCATAACCTCTATGTTAGATTTAATCAAAGTTTCCAACTGTCTATGTTCTATCAATATATAGTCCAGTTGCGAGTACGGTCCACGTGCAGAGGAAAAGAAGGTATAATCCCTTTCTCTAGGGTGTTTTATTCTCCATGTATCTATTAATTGGTTTTGATGTAATCTCTTTTTCAACTTTCTTAGTTTTTTCCCTCCTTGTCTTTGCACACTAGAAGACGCATCCATCTGTGGATCCATACTGCAGTTAAAATCTCCAGCCACAATCAGACAACCTATCTTGAATTACATTATTCTCTCCATTAAATTTGAAAGGAAATCTTCTGCGTTCCTATTTGGACAATATACATTCACCATTGTGTATTTTTGTCCCTGCAGTCTTCCTCTTAATCCCAAATACCGACCCTCTGAGTCTACCATTTTCCCCTCAACTTCAAAGTTTATATTTTTTTTGCGAGTCCTATTGCTACTCCTTTTGCCTTCTTTATTGGTGAATCTGCATAATACCATGTTGGGTGAGACTTTGAGTATAACTTAATGTTAGTCTCATAGGAGAGAAGCGTCTACTGTAGAAAAACCATGTCTGTGGAGTGTTGGTGTACTTCCCTAAGTATCTTATGTCTTTTAGTTGGAGAATTAAGGCATTTCACATTATAAGTCATAATATTGATAAAATTCATATCTAATTTCTATAAGTTATTTTCAAGTCTACTTTCCATTTACAGGTAGGGATACCCGGATCTTTTTGTATATGGACACCACCTCTATTTCCCCTACCCCCCTCCCTGATCCCCTCTCCTCTTCCCCTATCCCTCCCCAAACATCCCTTGGCCTATATATTGCCCTGGAATCTGACGTGGAGCCCCCCAACTACCAATTCCTTCTTTGGGGTATGACTCTGAGCATGTGCACCACTTTAGGTCATCTATCTTCAATACATGGGCTTCCCCCTTCTTCCCCATTTGTCGACACTTAGGAGACTCCGGACGCCTACCAATTTTCTAAGCTTCATCTTGGGATTCGGATGCCGAGCTGGGGGGGCGGCACGTGGGAGCGAGATCCAAGATGAAGGGGTAAACAAAAAGACAAAAAAAAAAGCCCCTTCAGATCTCTCGCCCTGCAATCTCCTCCCCCGCGCCCTCTAGCAAGCCTCCCATCAGCTTTCATTCTTTTTCTATTTACTTATTGCCATTTCTCACTTCTTAGCTCTATCTTCTCATTGAGTCCCTCTGACATCCCACTATTTCAACAGTCTGCAATTCTAATTTTTCACAAAAGTCTTTAAATTTTTCTGGATCTCTCAGTCTTGCCATTTTACATTCTTCCACACAATCAAGCAAGCCGGGAACCCCCAATTGTACCGAACTCCTTTCTCTTTCATCTGTTCTAATAGTGGTTTTAGAATCTTTCATCTCATTAGTCTCGGGAGCAACATCCGCAAAGATCTGCAATTT